TTCTTGTTTACAAGGAATGGATCTGGTCTTCTGGCCTAGGTTGGGTGATCCGTTTGAATTTTAAAGTCCCAGCCATTATTATTATTATTATTATTATTATTATTGCATAAGAGGGCAGTACGCTAAAAAATGACGCTTAGGTACAAATATACGAAACTCAATATACCCCTCCTGACACCCATTCTGATAAGGGCATACCAGACAATATTATTATTATTATTATTGCATAAGAGGGCAGTACGCTAACAAAATGACGCTTAGGTACAAATATACGAAACTCAATATACCCCTCCTGACACCCATTCTGATAAGGACATACCAGACATTATTATTATTATTATTATTATTATTATTATTATTATTATTATTATTATATAAGAGACGCCTACACTTTGAAAAAAAATTCTTATGACTTATCTTTTGTTACATATCCTGGTGTCACATATTGGTGTGACACCAGGATGCAATTTACGACAAAAGCAATTTACGACCTGCAGTCGTAAATTGCTTTTGTGGAAAATAACCGGCAAGTATTCTAGTCTCATAGGCTACTATGAAATTACTGAAATGAATATGATCTTCCCTGAGCCCAACATTTGTAACCTTGTGCCAGACTAAGTTAAGCTTAGTAAATATGAATAAATAATCAGTTAACTAATTGGCACACACACACACACACACACACACACACACACACACACACACACACACACACACACATTTTTAGATAGATATACAAGCATTCCGTAAGTACTCTTGTAGATATCCCGGCAAACAATGATATCGAAGATACCTCCAGAAATATATTTTAATAGTTAATGCTTTCAATATTGGGTATAAATTTCCCAAACAATAAATCACTAGAAAGAGTATGTCTGAAAAAAGTAACTCACTATGAGAATAGGTAAATATGGTGTCAACGTAGATTGCTAGCCAGTTGCATTCACTTTCACACAAATGCCCTTGGGGAAACACACGAATCTATCTCTTCTCCAGCTATAGATTAAATAGTAGGGTAGATCGAGCTCCTTAGCCTTGGGTGGTAACCAGTCTAAGACGAGAAAGACTTCAAATTCAAAACCAGAAGGCAACGGGAAAGCACTCCGCTATCTCTTGCAAGGTTGAATGGTAATTCACAGATAATAAAGAAAAGGAATCTATGGAGAGTAATGGTCGCTTCTGTCATGAATGATGACATTAAAAAAATAAAATGAAAAAATAAACTCAATATGACTCGTCCCTAAAGGTTAAGGTTGCTATAAGTAATCTGAAACATTTTAAATTATTTAATAAAAAATTTAAAACGCCTACTGTAAAATTTGTATAGTTCGAAAGTTACTTCAAAATTACCATATACTATTTGAAGAATACACCATTCAAAACTTTAAGAGTAACACAGGAAACAAATCACCAGTTTGTGTAGAATTTACAAGTACGTGAGTATGCCTGATCAAAGCCTATGTATGTCGATACCGACTCAAAACACGCAGTGACAATTTTCCAACGAACGGGTTAAGAAATCAGTATTTCACAGTTCGTGTTCAGATAAAATGCCAGGACCGAAGGCTGATTTTAAAGGCGACTAAAGCTGCTTCATTTGAAAGATTGGCGCAACACAACCTTTTTAAATTTATCACCCCACCATATTTGTCCTTATGCTTAACTAAACTAAGCTTATTAAATATTTGATTTATGACCACTCTTCGTACATAAGCAGTAAGGAGAAGTAAATTTCACCAACGAAAAATTCAGTTGGCGGTCAAATTTTAAAAATAAATTTGATCCTGAAGAATTAAAAGTTTGAAATCTTTCTCTCTTGTATATCATTTTATTGGGATTCCACATCTGTCAAATTGTCTGATCTTTGCAGTATTTACCAGAAACCAAGGAGTCAAAAGTCTGAAATAAGATAAAATAGCAATATGTTGTATAAAATGTTCTTCGTTGTTATTTGTTAGTACCTACCAGACAAAGATTATCATAGCCAGTGGGAATGGTATATTAAGTTTATTTTGGTATCAACCTTGACCCACAAAGCTTCGTTTACTTGGTAGCGACTAACAAAAAAGACATATTTTTAGTTTTATTTGGCAATTCAAATGCAATGTCAATCGTTATCTTTTGTCTTAATTCCTATTCTTTTATTGTTCTCACTCCTTAAACTTCAACACTCTGCATTATTCATTAATATTATTTCAATTTCCACTGTATACCAGGTGTAACAGTAAAATTGTCCAAATCGTGTAACGGCATAATTGTCCATCCCACAAAATATTTAATACCTAAAAAAATAAATAAATACATAAACTAATAAAGTTTCTTTTTTCCAGGTTTTCAGGTCAGAGGTTTAGCCATCTTGACACCATTTGTCGTTAGACTGAAAACCCCTTTGAGCTATTGACCTAGAAAGAGAACAGGTTAAAATCGTTTTGTGTCAGCTCCAATGTCTTCTCAACTGAGCAATGGTGAGAGGGAAAATCATTTAGGCCTTCAGTAATGGTACAGACATTCATACTCTAGCTTCCATTTTCAAAGTCCAGTCAAGAATCATTAAGAGAACGGTGAATAAGTATAAAAAAGAGGATCGTAGAGAGGAAAACTGGATCAGGAGGGATCATCATTTCAACTTAGAGCTAAAGAGATCAATTAGAAAAGATCCAACTCAATCCATAAGACGTTTGGCACATGAGAGTGGAGTTTCCCCTTTGACACTTCAAAGAGCAGTGAAAAAAGACTTGAAAATGAAATCGTACGTGAAACTTGTGAGACACTTTGTTACTCCAGGACAGAAAGTTAGAAGGTTAGAGAGGGCGAAGATCATCTTGAATAAGTCGAAAATGATCCTGAATAATAATAATAATATATATATATATATATATATATATATATATATATATATATATATATATATTCGAACTTTTATTTCAATCCTTCATGAGCTTCCGATCCTTAGCTATGATTAATTAATAATGAACATGTCATTTTCGTTTATGATCGATTTAATCACGATTCTGCTGTTTAGCTTGGAGAGTAATTATACATTCTTATTGTTCAAAGTAGGTTCCAATAGTGTTATAAAAAGCTCGGGGAATTCCAGTAAGATATCTTTAATCATTTCTATGATAGAATGGTTCAAAGCTTAATCTAACAAATGGACAATTTTGCTTTTACACGATTTGGACAATTTTGCTGTTACACTCGGTATAGCAGCTTCTAAACTGTAGTATCTTATTTCTTGATCTTAGCCAGTCATTTTATTGTTGACATAGCAGGACAAGGAAACACAACTGACATTCAAACACACTATTTAAATAAGTTTAGTTAATCATCTGAAGTGGCAGGACACACTTTTTGCTTTATAAACAAAGTTACAGTGTGTTAAAGGTTAATAATGTTCCTTTTCTTATATTTTTTCAAACCCAGTAACCCCTTGCGTCTTAGTGGCTTTGTTGCCTTGAAATGATTAAATGAAAGCAAATGAAAATGAAACTTGATCTTTTTTTCTATATAAGCTTGCCTACTTTAAAATTACGTTAGCCTTATGAATGCTAACAGTTTGCAGCCACCAAGGAAAAGATCTGTTTGCCATTGTTATTTTAAATAAATATACAAAATCGATCCTATTCTTGTCGATGTCTACTATCAGCTGTTTCGCCGCTACGCAACTTGATAGATACAACAGATATTATTGAATACTCTCGCCTTGATTCGCTCTCCCGGCGAGGTGGTAACAATTATGAACAATAGGCTGGTAAATAAAGTCATTTAAATAAAAAAAAAAAAAATTCATTATTAGTGTTTTCACTTATCTTGACTACCGTTGTGAAGTTGCGATCCATTGCTACACTGGGAATCCATTGGTTTAACATACCTTTCCAGTTTTTATTTATTTTAAAAAGAATATATTAAATGCTTTTCTTTTTTTTTTTTAATCATTTCACCCCAAGCAAGACAATAAAGCCACTATGACACAAGGGGGCGGTACTGAGTGTGAAAGGATATAAGGAAAAAATAAACACTATTTAGGAGAGAGAACAATAAAAGAACAGAAATTAAGAAAACAGAAGATAACGATTGACATTGCCTTTAAGCTTTTGAACGTCAAAGTTGACTGGAAAACAAAAAGCCGGAAGATAGTTCCACAAGCGAGAAGTGCGAGAGAAGAAACTGTTAGCTTACGTCTAGCAATTTCAACTGGAAATCTAGTATTTTCTATATCGATATTAACGCTTTCCAGATTTTTCTAAATGAAACACACTATTGAGAAATTCCTGTAGCGTTCTTCATCCACAAACAAAACTGAACAAATTAACAATACATTTTATTAAACAATTTATTTAAAAAAAATAGATATAAAATAAATTTAAGTGAAAATAAGTTTTTGTAAGCTGTTATTTTCCTAAAGTCTATCATGTACGTAGAGGATCATGGCTCTCCACGACCTCCTTTTTCTTTTAATATCTGTAGACTCTACATGGTTATGATTGTTTGTGGGAAAGATTGTGGAGTAGTATCCTGCTGCCTTTACCCTGGTTTTGAATCGAAAGTCAAAGGAGAAGTATACTGAATTTAAAATCTTGTAAAAGGCTACAGAAAACTGTCTTTACCAGGAATTAATGACAATTCACAGATGATAAAGAACAGGATGATGTGGAGAACCAGGATTATTTTGATTTCAAAATCGTGTAGAAAACGACGGGACACTACTCCACTATCTTTCCAAAGTTGACATACTTCCATCTACATTGTTCTTAAATGAATTACACGTGCTTGTTCCGTTTAATGTACGCAGAAGCACACATACAATTTGACTGAGTTTGAAATAAGACATTGAAATAACATATTTCCCTCCCACTCAGTCTGCACAACCCCTACTCTGGGCTAATCCATAAAATTATAAAGTTGAAGACAAGAAAAAAAGTTAATTTTTTTTAATTGTACTTTTTGGAAATTCTTCGGTAATAAATAAAATTACTTTTCACAACTTAAAAAAAAAAATCTTACGGCCATATCACATTGAAACATCGGTTCCTGTACGATCACCGAAGTTAAGCAACGTTGAACCTGGTCAGTATCTAGATGGATAACCGCTTGGAAAACCAGGTGCTGTAAGCTTGGATGTGCGACTAGTGTAACGGAATTGATAATTGAACAGCAGAGTTCCAATTCTCATTGGGTTCGTTATATTCATTTACGTGCAAGGGAGAAGTAGGAAATCTACCTCTTCTTTTTCCCCCAGCTATGGGTTAATTAGTAAGTCTTGTAACACTAAACTCGTATTATCTCCCCCAAAATTCTTACAATTTAAAAATATTTACCGACTTTATATAACCTACAAAGGGTTAATAAGCCGTAAAAACGAATCAGGTGGTTTATTTTATAATGGCTCAGAATTATTAATTGGAGAGCCAAGTCCCAATTCCCACTGGGTTCGTTATATTCACTTACGCGCAAATACCATTGGGAAAGGAATGAACCCACCTCTTCTCCTCCCGGCTATGAGTTAATTAGTAAAACTTGTATCGCTAAACCATTATTATCTCAAAAAAATTCTTACAATCTAAAAATATTTTCTGGCTTTAAATAACCTGTAAAGTTTTGATAATCCATAGAAAAAGAATGAATCTAAAAAAATCCTACAAATGTTTATGTCTTTCCTTGAATTAAAATACAATGCAACCTCAGTTCTCGAACGTCTCACATATCGAACAAATCGGTTTTCGAACAAAAAATTCGAGATGAAAATGCCTCGGTTATCGAACAAAATTTCGGTTCTTGAAAAACATTGTCAAACCGAGTTAAACCGAACAGAATAATTTCTCAGTCGACAGTCGTGTTGCATAGATTCGTGTGTTGTGCTTTTTCCCCAATTTTATTGTACTGTGACTTTTTTCTCTATGTTGATTCGCATTGGAAAAATAGTTTCGGTTTACGAACATTTCGGGTTACGAACGGCCTAAACTGCCAAATTTTTAATGCGCATTTTTGGCCCAGACAGGTGTCTTAGGAATTTATTTATTCCTTATGTTTAATTTCAGTAGTTACCATTCTCGTTTTTATAGAAACTAGAACATCAAATATATATGTATATAAAACATCAAAAAATAATATTGATTATAAATAATAAAAAAATACTGTTCAAAATAGTCATTATTTTTCTACTGGTGAAATGTAAAATTACGACAGAAAGTGTCTTCTTACGGCTAATAATAAAAAACTTTACAGGCTAAGTGTTGTAAAATATACCTCTGTAAATGCAATGTATGTAAGCAATTCAATACTAATACATGTAGTGAGTTTAATCTTAACAAATCCCCAAATAGGAACTTATGGCAGGTGATGGGTTAAGTAACGAATTAAATTCGTAAATCGAGGTTTCATTGTATACATAAACATTCATAAACGTATCTTCATATATTTTGAATGAAATAAATGGGCATGTTTGTCGCGAGGGTTAATTTTCTTATCGGTCTGGTAACAACAGGAAAAGACCAAACGCTTGCTCTTTGGAGTAATTTTTCCTTACTCCTGTAAACTGAATATATTTTCTAATAAATGTACAAACAAATTAGATTTGAAATGTATTCATTTTGTTGTTAGCGAAGCGACAAGTAAACGAAATAGCGTTTATAAAATTAGTACAGCTAAAAACTTTTGCTCTCAATCAGTGGTTTCCAATTGATTTTGGGCCATGCCTAAAATATTTGAATGAAAAACTTATTCTGTAAATATACTTTGATTATTTTAATCATGAAATAATAATACAAAATGAAATTTGAGCTCATTACAAAAATGACTGTTAGTGAGATCCTTGTACGTCATGCCTGATACAGGTAGATTTTATATTAGACACCAATTTTTTTTTTTTTTAAACATTTCAAGCAAGGCAGGAAGCCACTAGCACCAAAGGGTTACAGAGAGTTAGGCGAGAGCTAAGAGGAGTGATAGAGGAAAGGATGAAGAGAAGGATAGGGGATAGATCAGGGCATCTGGAAATGTCAATTGACATTATATTTGAATAGTTGGACATTATAGCTGTCAGGGAAACAAGAAAAGGGGATGGAATTCCACAGGCGAGAAGTGAGAGACATGAAGCTATTGGAGTAGAAGAGACGGCTATATTTAACAGTTTTGACAGTGAAAGGGTGTGAGCGAGATGCCAGCCTAGTAGAACGTTTAAATTCATGAAGTTTGGGAACCAGCTCCTCGTTTAGTGATATCCAATCAATTTCTTTTCTTCAATAACAAATCATTTACAGCACTAAAGCCACATTCAGCTAAATATGAAGATGGAAATGGTAACAACAAAATTCTTGCAATGGTGGTTGAATTTTTCTGTATGCATAACTGCATATGCATTGTATGTATTAAAACGCATTAAGATTAACACTTCTCCTCAGACTCATTAGAAAACAATTCATTGTTAATAACTTATTCTCGAATTGTCCCCTTATTCTGTTGGTATAGTAAGCGAAGGTGCACATCCTATGTACGCTCCACGAAACATTACCATGTCTCTCACGGTGGGCATGCACCCCATATTTGGAATCATTGGTTTAACGGCATATCAACTCCATATGGGAGGGTCATTTATTACTGAACTTTAATTTTCTTGGGCATATTAGTAATTTCTTTCGGAAAAATGAATTGCTAATAATATTTTTTTTTCAAAAAGTGTATTACTGGTAATTTTTTATTTTTACCAAAATATATTGCTGGTAATTTTTTTTGTTTTTCAAATTTTTTACAAAATTGTACTGCTGGTAAATTTTTTATCATGAAAATGTATTGCTGGTAATTTTACTATAAAAATATATTTTTGTACTTTCATAATGTTTTGACTCCAATTTGAAGGTTGACTATTTTCCCATAGCTGGAGCCTAACATTCTGAAAGGTACACATCTTATACATGGCCTAAGAAAATATTACCATGCCCCACTGGTGAGGTATACACCCTATGACCCCAATTTGGAAATCATTAGTATAGATATAAAATCACTTTACACACACACATGTATGCACACAGACGCACACACATATATATATATATAGGAATGGCAGGATAAAAAATTTACGTACATACACATATACTTACACAAATGTATAAATATATTTCTTCCTCAGGTGTTATAAATTTTGTGGTCTGTTTAAGGGCCAGAAAGACGAAGATAGATTGAACAAGTGTATTGAAATAACAGATATGTACAAAGCAAGAATGTTAGTAATAATCAGATAGAGGTGTATGACCGAACGGTAGGTTAACACTGTGTCTATGCTGCCAGCCAATTCATACAGTAAGTATTTATCTACTGTAGGAGGGTTTACCATGAAAATAAATACAGTGCTCAATGTTATGAGACAGAGCTATTAGGTATATATTAGTGAATATACATAATATCCAACGTTGATAGCATGACTCGAAGATTCATGCAGTTCTTGCAATCTTCATATGCACCAAATTCAAGGATTTCTCTAGTATTAAAAGAAAGTAAGAAATTGACCTTATCTGTAGATGAAATACATGTCAAAAAGGCTTTTTCTTCTTTGGGTGCACTTTCAGACAAGTAATAGGCAACTTAAAATGAAGATGAAAGTAAATACTCTTAAAACATTAATAATCTAATTCATCTAATCAAAAATGAAGATATAAGTCAATCCTAGTCAAAAATTAATAATAATGGCTGACAATGCTTCATCTAATCAAAAATGAAGATGAAAGTAAATCCTAGTCAAAAATTAATAATAATGGTTGACAATGCTTCATCTAATCAAAACTGAAGATAAAAATTAAATTCTAGTCAAAAATTAATTATAATGGCTGACAATGCTTCATCTAATCAAAAATGAAGATATAAGTCAATCCTAGTCAAAAATTAATAATAATGGCTGACAATGCTTCATCTAATCAAAAATGAAGATGAAAGTAAATCCTAGTCAAAAATTAATAATAATGGTTGACAATGCTTCATCTAATCAAAACTGAAGATAAAAATTAAATTCTAGTCAAAAATTAATGATAATGGTTGATAGTGGTTCCTATATCAAAAAGAGTTAAATTAATTCTGCTTATACGAATAGAGAAAGCCAAGACAAGCCAAAAAATGAAGTGTTGGTTTAATGTTTAGTTTTGATATTCTATCATGTTGCATAAAAGCAAAAAAGAAAAGAGTTTTAGTTTCTCTGAGGTTGTATACTTTATTGCCAATCCTACACAATCTACTCTTTGCCAGCTTTTGAAAAGTTACGCTAAAAAGCAGCAAAACCATTTTATATGAACATTATTGAAAATTAATAATAATTCACAATGTTTGTTCTATTAACAAAAAGGAAAATATTTCCGACTTTCTTCTTTTAGCTTCTCTGGCTTTAATAAATACGAGTAGAAAGAAAAAGTCAATAAAATTGATGAAATTCAAAAGATATAATTGTTTTGTGTTCATCACTGATTTGTTCGTTTCTTTTTTTTAATACAGACAAAATTCATGGCATTTCATTTTCTTGTGTTTTTTTCAAGAAACCAATCATAAATTGGAAATGACTAAAACCCCAATCTGTTCACACTAATCCTGCAATAATACAGATTATTTGCGTGTGATATGTAAAACCCAGTTTTTATTCCTAACATTGTCATTAAAAAGGTTTTACGATACAAATGACAGACTGCAAAGATTATATGTTTATTGCTTTATTCTGACATTAACTTCCCTACTTATCAGTATCTTCATTGTTTATAAAGTATTTCTATAATAAAAGCATTTACAATGTTTTATTATGATATAAATATTTTCAAAGAATGTCTATAGTAAATCCATTTGAAATGTATACTAGAGAAAACCATATTCAATAAAATTTTATAATAAAATCATTTCCAATAAATTAAAATATATGCTTTTAGTATTTGCTATGTCACTATATATGTAATCATTAGAGGGAATGAAAGTTTGGATGGATTTCTTTAATAAATCCTATCAGTGATAAAACAGCTTACATAAATGGTTAGTAAATAATTTGCAATGCATTCCTATAGTAAAAATCATTTGCAATGAATTTCTATCTATGCTTTTAGTATTTGCTATGTCACTATATATGTAATCATTAGAGGGAATGAAAGT